GAGGGGCTGAGGCCTCCCCCCTCTGGGGCAGAGAGATCATGGCTTGTGCCTTGAGGTCCTGGGTGCCAATTCTGGCTGGGTCACCCTAGTCTCTAAGGCTTAGAGTCCCTTCTGCGGCTGTGGCTCATCTGTGTGAGGTCTGGGATTGAATCTCATCACAGGAAAGGCTGCCAGGGGAAAATTTAGCACCTGTTAATGATCTTCCATCCTACTACACCTCTGGGGCCCCTGGGAGGGCCTTTCCTATACACTAATCCTGAGGGCTGGGAGTGGGATGGGGAGCCAATCTCTGCCAGACCCGCCCTGCTCCCAGCACCACACACCCAACCCGCAGCCAAGGAGAAGGCCCCCATTCAACCTGGGGACCATGGCCAAGAAGGGCGCAGGACCATATATGAGGGGAATTTGGCTTCATGCCTTCTCCAAACCATGGAATGGAGGCATATAGAAAGGTTAGAAGGTTAAATAGTGTGAGGGGGCAGAGGAGGGACAGGAGAGGGGATTTATAAGGAAGATTAGAGTCAAGCCCGGTGATAGCGCCTCTGTACTGGGAGGGCATCAGAATACCCAGGTGGAGGCGAGGGAGGCCCCTCACCCAGGGCTGCGGGTGAAGGTGGGGGATGAGTCCAGGCGTATCTTCGGGGCGGGGAGGTGGGGGTGCTCCGCCTCCTAGGCCTGCAGGCCAGTGCTCACCTCCCAGCCCTGTACCGTGGGATGTGCAACCCCTGTTCTGATGCGTGCTGCTAAGGCACGCACTGGCCCGCGCTGCACTTGCGCGCGCGCGCGCGCGCACACACACACACACACACACACACACACACACACACACACACACACACACGCTCGTACACGCCTCCTGCACACATACACAAACACACACACACACACACACACACAAACACACGCGCTCGTACACGCCTCCCTCTGCGGAGCGCCTCCTACCTGCCGCGTCGCCGCAGCTGGAGCCGGGATGCAGGGCACAGCGCGGGCACCGGGCACCGGAGCGGAGGCCGGACCCGCCTGCGCTGCAGCCTGGGACACAGCAGGGAGTTGCTGGAGCTGAAGCTTGGCTGCTCGAGCTTGGACCCCGGGGCTTCGGTCTATCCCGCCCAGCCTCTAAGCCTCCGCCCATTGGAGGCAGAGGCGTGGTCTTGGGGAGGTATGGGGGAGCGAGGACAGGCTGCTGAATGCGCATGCGAATGAGAGAAGAGGAGTCTCCCAGAGGCCGCCTTAGGAGTGCTGGCTAGGAACTGGGAGGGTGGCCGGGCCCCAGTGTTCCCTCCTTTCCACCCCAGTGCTATCCGCAATAGGAGAGCATCCTGGGGCATTGGCCATGACGGATCTGCACGCCCTACCAAGCGCTGGCAGAGAATGTTGACTGACTTGGTGTATGCATCTGTACAGGGCCTCAGCCAGGGCCAAGGCAGGGCAGATGCGAATGGGAGGACCCAATGAGACGAGCACCCCTCCCTTTCCAACTGTATCTTCACATCCATTCCCAAGATTTTGTCTGGAGAAGAGGAATGTAAGTGCCCAAAGGGCCCCAGTCAGTGAAGGAAAGCTGACCCTATCCTGTCCCAGGCACTTATCTGCGCTGGGTGTATGTAGACTGAAGCTGCAGGGCCCAGATTTTGGGCTCTCTCTGCCTGGCCTACAGAATGCCCGGGAACACACCAAGCCTGGGTTTCTTGCTCTGTAAAATGGGAACTGTAATTCCCACTTAAACCAGGCTGTTTGGGGAATACCATATGCTCCAACTCTGAACCCCCAAATCACCAAGAGACCCGATCCTATGCAAAGAGTCTTTAATTTTACGAGTTAACTCGGTCCTGTCTCCCCTTCACCCCCGCCCCGGAGCAGCAGCGGTGCGGGTAGAGCAAGGGGAGTGTCTGGGTCAGCAACAGTCTCAGGATTGGTGCACTTCTGGTCCTGGGCAACCTGTCCTGAGGCCCTCCCAATGCGGTTGCTATGGTCTGCTTTCTAGAGCCTCTAGCTAACTTCTGATTAGTTCCTTGCCACATGGAGATTATCTAGCTTCTTAGTGACTAGAAAGTCGGGCAAGGTAGGGAGTACATGTTGCTGAGTCAGGGACCTTTGTCTTGCTGGATCTTTTCTGCAGCCTGTCATGGCTGCCAAAGCAGGGGGCTGGGTGAGGGTCTGGTCCCTTCAAGAGATTTATGGATGACCCAGGCTGTTAACAGTAGACTGGGCATGGCACCCTGCTGTTGGGTTTGGGAATCATGCAAATATTGAGGACCAGGCCACCAAAGTTAGATGAGCAGAGACAACTTTATGCCATGGGGTACCCAAAACTTCTAACTAGTTAGGGTCATGGGTAGATCAGGATCAGACACGGTGACACCCTACTCAGAAGGAGTAGGGTGCTTTTTTAAAGCAAACGAGTTACAAGTAGGGGGATAGGTAGGGGTGAAACAAGAAGGAATTGTTATAATTGGAGGTTAAGTCTTGGATGACAGCGCATTGTGGGAACTTACAACTTGTGATAACATTTTACAGCTAGCTGTACAATTTGTGATAACAAGATGTTTAACAGGGGGTTACGTTCACAAGTCTGTGGTTATCTCAACATAGCTCTTGACACCACTGGGGTCTTGTTCTTCTGTAGCTGCAGAGAATATGGGACAGGGTCATGCAAGAAGAAGCAGGGTAGGTGGCTAATATTTTTGAATTATTGTGAACTCCACACCTGCACTAGGAAGGCAGCAGAGACCTGGTCATACTGGTTGCTGCTGGCCTACCTTGCAGGGAAGAAACTCAGGCCCATTCATCCCTCCAGTTTCCTCAACTCTATTAATGATTACCTCAGCCTCTCAGTCATCCTGCCTCCTGCCTCACCCCTGTCCTGGCCACCTAAGTGTATCTCCAACATTGCCTGACTGACCAAACAGTTTTCAAGTATGCTGCTGTCCCCTGCCACCCAAGCACATTATTCCAGTCTGTATCAGGTCTTTCTCTCCCGTTTCCCCTAGCCCTGGTCTACACTGGCCCTGGGCTGAAAGCTCTTCGGTCCACTCCACACAGCCTCAGCAGGATTCTGCTTCCTAAGTGATGGCCAAACTCCCAGGATGGGACACAGAAGCCCTTGGACAACAGACAGTTCTGGATCCAAGACTCCTTCCACCAGTTACCGGACAAGTTCTTTATCCTTCCGTGGTCCCAGTTTCCTATAAATGGGCTTTCTAGGATGGGAACAGAGACATGAAAGGGTTCAGTCAAGGTCCTCCAGCAAGGAAATAGGCAACATTGCCTTTGACAGGGCAATGCTCATATCTTCTAAGATACGGCAGGGGCCATGTCTGTATGGAGCTGCAAGAGGGGTATTGTGCATGGGTCACATTCATGGGCTCTGCCTTGGCTCCTTGTCTGTGTGACCTTGGACAAGAAACAAACTGCACTGTAGAACCTGCATAGCAGCACCCACACAGCAGCTCTGGAGGTTGACTGGCTTGATTCATGGCCTCTAGGCGCTATTGTCATCTAGCTCAGCCTCCTCATTTTGCAAAGATACAGTGTCTTGATCAGTGTAGCATGGCTGGCTAGTGTCCCAGTCCCCTTAGATTGTGTCTTAGACCGAGAGGCCTGTCTCAGAGCCCATCTCTGGCAGCTTCCATCTTCCTGACAGATGAGGCAAGAAACCTAGAGAGACAGTGACCTGTTGAGGGCACCTAGCCTGATGGAGGGAGAGGTGTCTCTGATATTTGGGGAACAGAGGATCAAGACAGGCTAGGAAGAGCCAGGCTGCCCAACAAGGTTTTCTGCGGGGTGGATGATGCATTTTTGCCAGTGTGTTGGCCCCAGGACCTTGCCAATTGGTTTTTATAAGCTTAGTCATCTAATGGTGCCATTAAAGACCCTGAAGGGTAGGTGTTTCCCATTAAATTATCACAATTAGTTGTCCCACTTAGCCAATGACAGCCTTAAACCTTTGGGAGATGCCCCAGGTCACAAAATTAGTGACCAGCAGGGTTGGGATGCAGGCCTACAGAACCGTGCAGATTCTGTCCACTTTTGTGCTGGACCTCCTACTCCTCCCCTCTCGGCCTTCTCGGAAAGGCCATCTCTGTAGGTCCCTCGACCTGCTGTCCAACCTCTGCTTGAATCCCTTGTAACTGGGAACTCATTCCTTCCTGAGATAGTTCTGTTCTTTCTACCTGTCAGAATCCTTACAACCCTACCCATTCTAACTAGCTCTGCAGAGACCTACACCCCACACTGATGCCTGGGAGAAGAGTGGTCTCTGAAAGGATCAGAAACCCCATCATTACTGTTCCTATGTGTACAGTTCCTGTGTTACAGTGTTTCCTAGGTGAGACTCAATGATCATTCTCTCTCTCTCTCTCTCTCTCTCTCTCTCATCAGTTTGGCTGCCCTTGAACTACGGAGTCAAATGTTTCTCCCATCTCAGCCTACCAAGTGCTGGGACTACAGGTGTTGTGTTTGAATGTGAAAGCCCCCCCCCAATAGCCCATGTGTTTTAACACTTATTTTCCAGCTGAAGGTGCTGTTTTGGAGGTTGTAGAACTTTTAGGAAGTGAAATCTAGGAGGAAGTAGGTCATTTGGAGAAGGCCTTGAGATTGTATAGCCCAGTGCCACTTCCTGCCCACCCGGTGCTTCCTAACTACAGACTCAGTGTGACTCGCCATCTGGTGACCCTGCTACCATATTTTCCCTCCATCATGGGCTGTGTCCTTTCTCAAACTGTAAGTAAAAACAAACCATTTCTAAATAGCAGCTTGTCATAGCAATGATAAAAGTCACTAGTAGAGAAAATTGGTATCATGAGCAGGGTTTTCTCTATCATAAACCTGACCAGGTGGTTCTGAGGTCATTGGAATTGGTTTGCAGGAGGAGTGTGGGAGAACTTGGGGCTATGGACTAAAGGACCCCCTAGAAAGCTGTAAGCAGAGCTCAAAGGGACATTCTGGAGTGAGTTTGGAGGACAAGAATGCCAAGAGAAGAAAATAGAGGCCTAGGTCACGAGGTTTCAGAGGGGAACAAAGACTATCGATTAGTGAGCTAGAAGTCATTTGTATTACATCCCAACAAAGACTCTGGGTGCATTCTGCCCACGTTCTAGAGGCCAAATAAAGTCAAACTAAAAGAATAGAGAACTAATTTGTTTGGTAGAAGAAGTCTCAAGACAAGATATAACAGTCTTCAGGTTTTGTCATGGTTACTGCTCACTGCTTGTATCCAGGTCTACAGTGAGAGGAGGAACAAGAGAAGCAGAAAGATATGAAAATGTATAGTTTAGTGGGGGGAAGGAGGGCATTTACAGTTGCAGGCAAGACACATGCAAGAGCAGTTGTTGTTGAAAGGGTCACCCCCAATTAAAGAGAAAACCTAGTGCTGTGCCCTGGGAAGATTACAAAAAAATAAAAATAAAAATAAAAGGTACCCTGAGGGTAAGTGTTGGGAACCCTGCAGCCTAGTCTCAGATCAGCATGTGACTACCCATCCAACAGGTTTTTTCAGGGCAAGACACCTGTGGAAATGGACTCTCACTTGGCAAGGACCAGTAGTCCAGGGGACAGGGTAGAAATTTGCAAAATTCATGCATCTTGCAGGCTCTTTTCTCTCTCATTATATTGGTGATTCTTTGGGTGGTTTTAGTTTTACTTTGTCAGTCACATGTGCAACAGCTGTAATTTTCCCTGGAAATTCTGTTCCCTTTCAAATATTTTCACCTAAGATTCAACAGGGAGCTAATGCTTCTCAAATCTCTTATCTGGAAATACTAACTACACCTCCTAATCCTGGGATATTTTCTGACTCAATAGAGATAGGTAGGTAGGTATGAGAAAGCAACACTTGGATCATTAACCATGTCACACACTTCTGGGAAGGAGAATAAGGTACTCGTACACAGAATAGGGGGAAAGTCTCAGGAATAAACATAGTGCTAACTGTTGAGAGTGAGTTCCCTGGACACCAAGCATATAGAACCAATGATAGGATCCAGTATAACCCAATGGGAAAAATGCAATATAAAATATGGTATGGAAAGATCCATCTTTACCATACACAGGAGCTTATAATGGTGGAAGAAGTATGGTATAGTGAGATGGCAAAAGAGTGCTTTGTCACAGTCTGCCTTTTTCAGAGAGATTGAGACTTGGGACCCTCTTGTAGAAAAGGGAACTGTATAAAAATATATCTTGCAGACATGAAATAATTGTCTAGGTTTGAACATTGTTGTCCTTAAAGCATTGTGCCCATGTCTATTACTTTTTAACTTTGTAACCACAAGTACCTGCCAGCTGACATAAATACTGCAAGAGCAGAATGTCTCTGGCTTGATATTTAGTTAAGCCTGCAAAAATGATGAACTCTATGTCTAGAATAAGGTTATGCAGCGGGTGGAAAGGTGTATTGGGGAAGCATAAAGGGGGGTTATGGGGGCTTTCATGATGATCATGATGTGTTCTTTAAATTGTGATGTATTTCTTAAAGTCAAAAATAGAAGCCAATAACAAAGCTGTTCATGTAACCCTGGAAAGAAAAACTGTTTAAGTATAAATAAAAATGGCCTGAGCTATATGGGGCCACTTGAGTGCAATCCACTTGGTGGTCAGAAGTTTTCCTTGTGCTGACTCAGGACCTGAACCCAAGCCGAGACTGGACCCTGGCAGGTAAGACCTCAGCCACTGAAAGCTGCATCTTATGAAAATGCAAATTCATTTCAAAAGAGACATGCTGAACTGAGAATGCTGAAGAAGGGTGTTTTAGTTTGTTTCCTTGCTTGGAGTGGAAAGGGTTTATTTCATCTTATACTTCTAGGCTATAATTCATCACTGAAGGAAGTTGGGGCAGGAATTTATGGCAGGAACACAGAAGCAGTAACTGAAGCAAAGACCATGGATGAACACTGCTTACTGGCTTGTGCCCTGTTTGTACTCACCAGCTTGCTTTCTTTCTTTCTTTCTTTCTTTCTTCCTTCCTTCCTTTCTTTCTTTCTCTCTCTTTCCTTCCTTCCTTCCTTCCTTCCTTCCTTCCTTCCTTCCTTCCACCCCCTCTTTTTCTCTCTTTCTTCCTTTTTGAGACAGGCTCACTGTTGTTCTGGAACCTACTTTGTAAATCAGGCTGGCCTCAAAGTCACAGAGATCCACCTGCTTCTGCCTCCCAACTGTTGGGATTAAAGGTGAGCACCACTATACCCAACCCTCAGCTGACTTTTTTATACAACACAGGACCTCTTGCCCAGGGGTAGGACCACCCACTGTGGGGTAGACTGTCCTCCATCAATTTAGCAATCAAGAAATTCCCCACAGAGATACACAGAGGAAAATCTGATGGAATTAATTCTTCAATTGATGTTCCCTCTTCCCAGGTATGTCAAGGTGACAACCAAGAATAGCCATCAAGAGGCTCTCTGCTAAAAAAACAGACAAACCACAAAAAATGAGCCATCTAAGAAAGTATTTCCTAAGATTCAGCCACCAAGACATACAGAGACCACTAGAAATTTGATCCAAGGGGGTAAAGCTACATTCTGAGCTGAAAACAGAGCTTGGCAATGTTGTCCACATGGTACTAGATTTTCTGGCATGGAAAATATAAGAAGAGTGAGGGGGTCATGGAGGTTTGTGCCGAGGTTCCAGAAGGCCAGTGGGACCACACAATGTGTAGTAGTTTCTCTGCAAGGAAGTCCTAAGAATCCATGACATGAGATTCCACATCACTGGAAATGTGATGTTTAAGTTGCAATGGAGACCTTAGGATAGTGGAGCTGCCAAGACCATGGGACATCCACCAAAGAAAGCTGCAGGCATGACATGAATATTGCCAACCCAAGAGAGAGGCTTTGTGTGTTGCAGGTAGCAGAACTAGAGAGACAGCCTACCTAAGCTATTTAGAGCCTAGATGACCCCATCAGAGGCCCCAGGTACCAATCATGGAGCTGCAGGTTTTGGTATTTGCCCTGCTGGGTTTTGGTTTTGCTTTGGTCTGATCTTTCTTTGCTAACCCCATTCCTCCTTTTTGGAATGAAAATTATACTCTGTCGTTTTATGTTGGAAATATGTGACTACTGCTACTTCTACTACTATCATTATTATTGTACAGAGGTTCACAGTTCTCAACTTCAAATCTCAGAAGAGATCTTGGACTGTTGAACACTGTTGAAGAATAAATACATTTGCATCATGAGATGGCCATGAGCTTTGGGAGACCAGAGGCAGAATGCTGTGCTTTAAATGTGAATGTCCCTTATTCAAGTGCATGTGTTTGAATACTTGGTTCCCAGCCGATGACACTTTGGGAGGTAAAGCCAAACTAGAGGAAGTGGGTCACTGAGGGCAGGCCTTGAGGTTTGGGAGTCTGGCCTAATTTCCTGTCCACTCCCTGCTTCCTTACTATGGATACGATACAACCAGCCATTACATGCTCCTGCCACCATCTCTCCCCTCCACAATGGACTGTATCTCTTCTTAAACTATAAGCCAACCAAGACGCCTCCTCCCTGAAGCAACAAGAAATAGGTTTTTAAATCTTTTTATTTTAATGACTTATTTTTGTTTTTATGTGCATTGGTGTTTTGCCTGCATGTGTGCCTGTGTGACAGTGTCAGATCCCCCGGAACTGGATTTAGCCAGAACAGTTGTGGACTGCCATGTGGGTGCTGGGAATTGAACCTGGGTCCTCTGGAAGAGCAGCCATCTCTCCAGCCCCACTAATATGGTTTTTAATCCCAGCAACCAAATTTCCAAGCTGTTATTAGAGTGGGCTGACGAGATGGTTCCATGGATAAAGCACTGCTGGGCAAGTGTGAGGACTTCAGTTTGGATCCCTAAACTTGTGTGAACCCAGATGCAATGATGTGCTCCCGTAATCTCAGCACACTTCCAGTGGATGGAGACAGGAGAATTCCCAGAAGCTTGCAGGCCTGCCAGCCTGCTGTATACAGTGACAAACAATGAGAGATACCGTCTCAAAAAAGGTAGAAGATGAAGACCAGTATCCAAGGTTGTACTCTGACCTTTACACAACTTGCCACTGCAGTGACCCCACATACAACATACATTTACATATACTAAAATCAAAAATAAAACCTGCAGAGAGTCCCTCAACATGTCTCAAAATGGAGGCTTCTAATATCTGGTGTCTTGAGGTGGGACATTACGGTAGCCATGTTAACCAGGACCAAGTAGCCATCCTAGGCCAGGGATCAAGAATGCACAGCGAGGATTCCAGTTAGAAATACAGAGGTTATAGTTGGGCTAGGTGAGATGGTACACACCTGTGATTTCAGCACTTGGGAGGTAGGAAGATTGAAACATCAGTCAGGCGTTGGAGAGACAGCTCTGTCAGCAAAGTGTTTGCTGTGCAGATGAGAGCTTCAGTTCTGAGTCCCAGAAAGAAAGAAAACAAGCCATGTGTGATGGCATGTGCCTGTAGTCCCACCCCTGGGGAAGCAGAGATTAGCAAATCCCTGGAGTTCTTGGCAGGCAGAGCTAAAGAGGTGAGCTCCAGGTTCAGTGAGAGACCTTGCCTCAGAAAATAAAGTGGAGAGCAATTGGTGAATACAACTCCTTTGACCTCTACCCTCCAACACACACACACACACACACACACACAAACACACACACACCAGTCAGCCATTTTACAGTAATTATAATGTGGATTATACAGTCAAACTGTTTCAAAAACAATCAGCTTCTATTTTGTAGTAGCTGCTAGTGGCACTCCACAGAAGATGAAAAGTCAGGTTGTACTTCATGGAATCAGACGCCATACAAAAGCCAGTGAGGAGGACAAAATGGCCTTTGAGTTGCCCTTGATTCTATCCCTTTCTGAAAACTGTCCGTATTTCATTGCTGGATATTGGAAGCCAGCTGAGACAGGAGATGTGGATGAGTGGTACAGCACTTGCTTAGCGTGCACAAGGCTTGGCTTCTAGCCCTTGAAAAAAGAAAGGTTAAAAAAAATGTGAAGGCAGGTTAAGTGAAGTCCACGAATGCCCGAATGAAGAATTAACAGATATTTATTTGGGGAGCACTCACACAACGATGCCAAATAACCCCTGTGGTCTTCTGCCCCTGAAGGCACAGCATCTGCCCTGCAGTATGCTTGGACCACAACCCAAGAGAGCTCCAGTGAAACCCTCCTCTTCCTTATGAGGGGTCATGTCTGATTACCAAAGCACACCCTAAGGCCATTGTCTCAAGTCTATTGGCCAAATAAGCTGCCACTACAAAATTGTCTAAGATGGGAGTCTTAGTTACTACTGCTGTGAAGAGACACCATGACCAAGGCAACTTACAGAAAGTTTATTGGAGGTTTACAGTTCCAGATGATTATGGTCCCTGACTATCCTTGTGGGGAGCGTGGCGATGGAGCATAGCTGAAGACTTACATGTTTAACCACAAGTAGGAGACAGAGAGAGCTAACTGAGAATGGTATGGACTTTGGAAACCTCAAAGTTCACCCCTCAGTGACACACCTCTGCAACAAAGCCACACCTCTCAATCCTTCCAAACAGCTCCACCAACTGAGGACTGGTCTGTTCTCATTCAAACCATTACAGTGAAGTATGGTGGTACTTTCCCTGCCATCCCAGGTGAGGCAGGAGAATCACCTCAAGTTTAAGGCAAGCCTGAGCTATACAGGGAAACTGGCTCAAACAAGTAAATAAATAAAAATAAAATGCACTGCCCTTTTTGTCAGGAAGCAGCCTAAGAACAATGTGGCTCACTTGTGCGGAGGAAGTTTTAATTCCCTATGGGGCAGGTAGGATGGGAAGAGATGAACTGAGTGGGAGGGCAAGAAAGAGGAGGGGGTGAAATTTCTCTAACTAAATCTTTAAAAACTTTTAATTATTGAAATACAATTTGGCTATCATAAAATTCAACCTTTAGAGACTGAGGGCTGTGGATCAGTAGAGAACATTCGAATATCATTCAATTGCCCATCACTAAATAACAATTCTTTTGTTGCTTGTGTTTTTGTTTTTCTGAGACAGGGTTTCTCTGTGTAGCCTTGGCTGACCTACAACTTGCTCTGTAGACCAGGCTGGCCTCAAACTCAGGGATCCACCTGCCTCTGTTTCTGGAGCACTGGGATTAAAGATGTATCACCACTGTCCAGCAATAATTCTTTAAAGTATAAAATCCAGTGGTTTAACATCTTTAAATTGACAGTCATCATCACTGCTAGTGAACGTCAGGAAATGTTTATCACCCCAGTGCTCACCCTAAATCATGTCCCATCCCTTCCCGAGTTGCCCTGGGCAACAACTAATCCACTCTCTGTCTCTTTGGACTTGATGAGTGTTTCATATAATGGAACCATGCATGTGTGGCCTTTTGTTTCTGCAGTCTTTCAATGAGCATACTGTTGTCATGTTGCAGCATGAATCAGGACTCTATCCCTGTTTATGGTTGGATAATAGCCCATTGTACAGATATGCAGATTTTGTTTATCCATTCATCTGTTGGTGGGCATCTGGGCCCTTCACACTTTCTGGCTACTGTGAATAAAGATACTATGCACATTCGTATGTGAGTTTGGGAGAAGATTGCGTTTTCAGTGCTCACAGGAATGTCTAGGGGCAGAACTGTGATT